CATGCTCACGCCGTTGGTTCTTCTTCTAATGTCGGCACGAACGACATGGGTACGGGAACAGTGTGCACCTTGCCCAGCAGCACACCGAGCGCGTTCCACTACTCGCAAAGTGCCTACTCGCAAACGTCCGAAACAAAACACATGCCTGCTTCGATGTACTTTATCGTAGATCCCCCGCGGCGGATCCAGGCCATTAGTTTCGTGTGGTGTCGACCAGCGGCGACCCCGCCGGCGGCGTTCAACGTTGAACGCCGCGGGCGACTCAGAATCGTTCGATGTGGAACGACTTGGACGTTTCGGAAACGGCCGATCGTTCAGGTTGAAAGATCACCCCGGTGTCAGAAGCCAACGCTGCAGTCGGCACGACACGAGCTTGACGTAGTTCAGGAGGGAAAGAAACACACAGACGCAATTAGTCGTCGGAATATATGGGTAGTGGGGGAGAAGGCGGAAATCCATAAAGCCTCGGAAAAAATGGGGAATCCTGTTATTTGTGTCCATTTATTTGTTTGTCCTTGGGCCCCTTCAGTAGCTACTTTGCGAGTAGTGGAGCGCGCTCATCTGCTGCAGCAGCTCCTGGTGGCTAATGTTCTACCAGGGCGCGGTGTCCTCGCCGCCGCGGGCGTGGTCCGTCTGAGACACAGGAGGCCGCCTGCCCCCCACGGTGTCCGCGGTCGGTTCTGGACAACAGCTGCAGTGGGGCATCGTGCCCACTGTTTCCGCACCCACCTTTCCATACCTTTTGAGGCATATTCAAGCATATTACAAACAGTCGGGGGACGATGTGCTGACCATTTTTGATCTTTGTTGGAGTATTCTTTAAATATTTGTCATGGTTCCTTCCAGATGCGCATGTAGGGGTACATGCCCGACCTAACGCTCGCCCTGGGGCCCCCAGCGCTGTGGAGGGCCGATGATCAAGCAGTGGCGAAGCGTCCTGGCTCGCTCATAGGCCCACCAGAGGATGCTCTAAGAGCATTTTGTGGTTTGCGCGACATGTTCTAAGAGCCTTTCTGGCTGAGTCTGCCTTGCTTTGACACAGCGGCGCTCATGTTCCGAGAACACTGTTTGTTTTTAGAACATGTCTGGGTTCGACGAACATGCCGTGGTATGCCTATAGAAATGCCGGGGTCTCTGCTGAAATTTCGGGCGTCCAGATTCCAGGCCACCACCGAGGGCCGACCAACAAGAGGTCCGGCGCCACGAGTAGGTTGCAGCATGTCTTGGGGAATCACGCCCAGAGCCGTCGGGTGCAGCTCTTGGGAGGTCAATCTCCAACTTTGCCCAGGTCCGAAGTCCGGCCTGATCCCGCCCAGTCTGGCTAAGTCCCATTTGATCTGGCTAAATCCCGCTTTCCCCGGCCTACTCTGGCACGTCAGCCCCCAGTGGGGCTCAATCCTCCTTGATCCTGTCGACGAGGACCTCCCAGCAGCTGCCTCCTAACGGAGCCTTCGGTTCCACCTTGCCGCGGAAGTTTCAGCTGCCTCCTAGCAGAGCCCTTTGCTCCACCTTCCCGAGGCAGTTCTCGAGCCGGACGCATCCGCGCGAGGCCCCCCAAAGCGGGGCCAAGTGAGGGCGGCAGTCTTTCGGCGTGTGCAAGAGTGCGACGGCCCGGAGCCCTGGAGCAGGGCGCCCCCCCGCCGCGGCCCCTGGAGTGCCGCCGCGAAGGCGTCGCGCCGGGGGTCTCGCCTCTGAGGCCCCGGAGGTTGATGGACCTCCTACCTCGACGCGCCGATCAGCGAACTTGGCCGTTCTCGGTTCGCGAGAGAGCGGCGTCGCGGCCGCCATTTTTGCGGGTCCAGGTCCGTCGGTTTCGGTCCCAGTAGGGGGCCACATGCAAACCCTACCCCTGCCCCCCACGATTTCTGAGGGGGAGGGTGGGGTTCACTTCGTTCGGGAGCTCCCGAGCGAAGTAAGCCCCACCCTTCCCCTCAGAAATCGTGGGGGGTCGGGGTAGGGTTCGCATGTGGCCCTCTACCCAGGCCGTCTTCACGAAAGGGTGGTCCACCGCCGAACGTCCCCTGGCATCGCTCGGGCGTGTGTATTTTGTTTCCGCGGCGAGGACCATCGAGGGGCATCTATAGGGCCATCGTGCGAAATAAAAGCGCACGAGACCGAAAAATGCAGGGGCAAGGGACGTCCGAGCGATGGCGAGTTTCTCAATCTCCCATAGGAGAACATGTACTCATACCGCTACCCTTCCCTCGTTTTCCTCTTTTCGGGCTTCCTGGGAGGCTCTCTCTCGTCGCCACGCTAAGGCACGGGAACGGTCCGAGAAGGCTGCGGCGCCCGAGACGTCCCCCAGAGCCGACAGATCTCAGAGGTTTTCGATTCGTCCTCACCCGATTTGATCCTCGCCCTGGCTTCGTCTGAACCTTTTTCGTCCCCCGATCCCGGGCCGCACGAAATGGCAGGATAGGGAAACAGGGAAGGGAGGGGTATGCGATTTGCTGCGTGCAGCCAGGTTCGGCCCCGCCGCTGGGCCCACTCCTCGATGCCTGGGCGCCTCTCGCCGCTTGGAGACCCCGTCGGAACCAGCTCCGTGAGCTGATTCTCTACCCCGCCCTGTGCTGCCCTACCCTTGCGGTTATGACGCTCCATCCTGTCTTATCAGGAGGGGAAAAACACACAGACACAATTAATCGTCGATCCCCAAGAAAATATGGGAAAATGTGGGGGGAGACAAAAACCCAGAAAATAAAAGAAAAATATGGGGAATCCTGTTATTCGTGTGTATTGCGAAGGCCTTACGGCCGGTGCCGCCGACCCTGAAGACGAAGCTGTCTGTGACGGCGTGAAGGCCGAAACGTCGTATATGCTAGAAATGTAAGTTTCCGATGGAAAAGTAATGAGTGTGGCCTCTTGGGCCCTTCTTGGGGGTGCTCTTGGAGGGGGCCTGGGACGTCTTGGAGGCTGCTTGGACGGTCTTGCGGCTATCTTGGGCGTCTTCGGCCGATCTTTGGGCGATTCGGGGCACTCTTGGGCCGTCTCGGGGGCCATCTTGGGCATTCGGACCTCATTTGGAGTGTTTTCGATGTTTCGAGGCCGCCCGAGGAAAAACGAATCTGCCCCCCCCCCCCTCCCCACCCACCCACCCACCCCCTCCACCACCCCCTCCCCCACCCCCCCCCGAAGGGGGAAGAAAGAAGGGGGGGCGGCGAGGAACGGACGAGGAAGCCCCTTGCACACGCCGACAGGGTCGGCGGATTTATTTGTGTGACCCAGGGCCCCTTGGTCACCAGAAAAATATCGAGCACCAAGAAAGTACCGAAGTTGGCGAGTTTTCACGTGTCGGGCCTTGGCAGGCGATACCCGTTCTACACTTGTTCGGTACTCTTCTGGGTGCCCGAAAGTATGTCTGGGATGCCGTCCTTCACTGCGATGGGAGCAACATACGCCTGTCGCGCCCCTCTGACAATCTCACCCTCCTCTCCTCGTTTCCTCGGGGGCGGGGGGGGAGAGAGCACCAATAACTATGGCACGCGGCCGTTGGGCGCCCCTGCTCCGCGCGTTATACTCCTTCCTGGTGCTGCGTCGGCAGCTCTCGGCCCCGATGTCTTTTCCCGGCCCCCGCGGGTCCCAGAGCTCCGCCCGAAAAGCTCGGCCGTTCAGAAACATCGGGGGAGGGGGGGGCAGGACCCCCGCCACGTCGATTCGTGAATGGTCCGTTTTCGGTTCTCGAGAGGGCGCCGCGGCCGTAATTTCCCAGGCTTGCGCCCGCCAGGTTTGGGCCCGAGGTCGTTTTCACTCAACCGCGTTTTGCTAGAGGGGGTTCTGTCCATCCTCGAAGAAGGGGGGAACCCTTAGATACACCGCACAAGGGGGCTACTCGGATGTGCACCCCTGGCGAGGATGCACGCCCCCACCCCATCCCGTGTCCCGGGATTGGGCCCCCAATGTCTGGTCCATTCGACCACCCCAAGAAGCCTGGGACAGGGGTCGGCTGCTTTCCTGTCGTGCCCTCATTACGCTTCGCGCGGCCTCGGCGAGGTCGAGGCCCGGTCCCTCGGTGCGAGGCTCCGTGAGAGGCGGCAGCCCTGTCGCTGGCCCCTGTCGGCGGGGCCTTCATCCTCTGCCGGGGTGACGAGAATGTCCCCTCGGACGGGCCCCCCCTGGGAGCTTTGAGCCTCGTCGGGCCTCCCCGACGATTACGACGACGACGGCGACGGCGACGGCGACGGCGACGGCGGCGGCGACGACGGCGACGACCGCGACGGCGAGGGCGACGACGACGGCGACGGCGACGACGACGACGACGACGACGGCGGCGGCGGACTCTGGATGTCTCCAGGGGTGCCTGGAGGCCTTGAGAGGACCCCCCCGCATCCCCGCCGCCCCGATCCCCACGCCCCACCTCCCCGGGTGGGGGGCACGCCCGTGGAAGCCCGCAGGGGGCAGCCTCCATGGCCCATTTGGGGCGGCGCGTCGGCCAGTGGGGCCCGGGCTCAGGCGATCGCACGCACGGATCAAAGGGGGTGAGGATTTGCCGCGAACTGGGGAACAAACAACGGGGGGCGTGGATTCGCGATGGGCCCCGTGTCCATCGGAAGTCGCGGGCTTCCGCCGCCGAGCGAGGCGGCACAGGCTGCATTTGGGCGAGGGCACCCCCCCGGATCCATGGCTGTGGCGACCGCGCGTCAGATCCATGGATCGCTAATCCGTGCTTGCGCGCCCCCGAGAGACGACGCCCACCTGGATGCTTCTGGAGCCCCGAGAGCCCGGGGCGTCCCGGAGCGGGCGAGGGGCGCCGCCGAAGAGGAGCATTCGGCCCCTGGACCCCTGGACCCCGTGACCCCCTCGACCCCCTGGACGCCCTCCACGCCCTCCACGCCCTCCACGCCCTCGACCGCCCTCGACGCCCTCGACGCCCTCGACGCCCTCGACCCCTCGACCCCCTCGACGCCCTCGACGCCCCGACGCCGACGTCGTCGGCGAGGCCGCCGCCCGTGCGAAGCCCCCCGCGCCCCGCGCGCCGCGCGGGGGGCGCCGCGGCGGCAGAGGCCGACCGCGCGGCCGCGCTGCTGTCCGAGCAGCGGGGCGTGGAGCTCGGGCGGCGGCTGCAGGAGGCGCGGCAGGCGCGCCTCGCCGAGGGGGGGAGGAGGAGGAGGAGGAGGAGGAGGAGGAGGAGGAGGAGGAGGAGGAGGAGGAGGAGGAGGAGGCGGCGGCGCGGCGGCGGCGGGCTGCAGGAGGCGCGCCAGGCGCGCCTCGCCGGGGGGAGGAGGGGGGAGGAGGGGGGAGGAGGGAGGAGGAGGAGGAGGAGGAGGAGGAGGAGGAGGAGGAGGAGGAGGAGGAGGAGGAGGAGGAGGAGGAGGAGGAAGGAGGAGGAGGAGGAGGAGGAGGAGGAGGGAGGAGGAGGAGGAGGAGGAGGAGGAGGAGGAGGAGGAGGAGGAGGAGGAGGAGGAGGAGGAGGAGGAGGAGGAGGAGGAGGAGGAGGAGGAGGAGGAGGGGAGGAGGAGGAGGAGGAGGAGGAGAGAAGGAGGAGGAGGAGGAGGAGGCGGCGGCGGCGGCTGCAGGAGGCGCGCCAGGCGCGCCTCGCCGGGGGGAGGAGGGGGAGGAGGGGGAGGAGGGCAAGCTAGGTGCGCTCGCGTCATATCTGACATCCTACCCCTCCCTCCCATCCCTTACCATGGCGCAGATCCCCTCTCCACTCGCTGAGTCGGATGGCGAGCAGGGCAATGATCCCGAAAGGGTACGCGATGCATTGTAGAGCACGGCATGGCATGGCGTAGAAGAGCACCGCAAAGCGTAGCATCAACCTAGCATTGCATTGCATGTCGTGGCATGGCACGGGAAATGACGCCAGCGCTGCAGCGGGAGCACGAGTCGAAACGAGCGGAAGAGCGGAAATGAGGCCAGCGCTGCAGCGGGAGCACGATTCGGAACGAGCGGGGCCCGAAAATGAGGCCGGCGCTTCAGCGAGAGCAGCATTTTGAAAAAATGCACGCCAAAACCCAACTCCGGGGAAACCTGTGTGTAAAAAAACAATACGCGGGGGGAGGGGTTGGCCACTTTCAAACCGTCATCAGGGGAAGAGGGAGAGTAGTATTCATATTGAGTAATTGTGGAGGAGGAGGAGGAGGAGGAGGAGGAGGAGGAGGAGGCGGAGGCGGAGGCGGAGGAGGAGGAGGAGGATGCGCGCCAGGCGCGCCTCGCTGAGGGGAGGAGGCGTGGCAGTGTCCAGGCGTGTGCATCGAGGAGCACCTATAGGAGGAGGAGGAGGAGGAGGAGGAGGAGGAGGAGGAGGAGGAGGAGGAGGAGGAGGAGGAGGAGGAGGAGGAGGAGGAGGGGGAGGTGTGCCTCCTCGTCGTCGTCGTCCTCCTCCTCGTCCTCCTCCTCCCTCTCCCCCTATGCCGCTTGCAGGGCCCTCCTTCTCCTCCTACTCCTCCTATGACGTGTGCATTGTTTCCTGGCGAGGGCCATCGAGGAGCATCCTGGATCGTCGAGCAACAGCACACACACACTCACCCAGTCACTCACACACACACACATACACACACACACAAACACACGCACGAAGCAGACGGATGCACGGGGAATGGAGTTCCGAGCGATGGTAAGCGGGGGGGTGCGCGAGGAGAGGATGAGCTGGAGACTTTTTTGTGTTCGTTTTCGGATGAAACCTATACCTGTTATATATATATATATATATATATATATATATATATGGGATCTGGGCGACACCGGCCGTGATCGGCCCTCTTCATCCTCCCCCACATCACACCACGCTATTCTGCCCACATCTGCGAAGATGTCCTACGCATTCCTTGGGGATTTCCTGCGTCCAGCGGCCCCCCGCCGTGGTGCGATCGGGTGGACGGCCTCCCCCCCCACGTCCCCCGAACACGCCCGTTATCGCGAATGTGAGTTGCGAATGATCGGGAGCACTCATCAATCTATCGAAGACGCCTACAGCACATCACCGCCGCCCCCTGCCCGTTTGGAAGCGCCTAGGTGGCCGAACGTTGAGGCCAGACCTGCCAAGCTATCGGACCATGTGTTCCCCGAATCGGTTTTGAAGGCCTTCGGGGAACACGTGGGCATCTTGAAGGTCATCTTGGCCGTCTGGAGGCCATTTTGACCTTCTTGGAGGACGTCTTGGAGGGCTCCTGGGCCGTCTTGGAAGCCATCTTGAGGGAGACCTCTTGGGCCGTCTTGGGGGCATCTTTGGGCCGTGGCTTGGGCCTCTTGGGCGATCGTTGGGGGCACTTTGGCCGTCTCGGGCCGTCGGCAGGCAGACAAAAAAGCAAATGCCACAATCCTTCACACACCCATGGGAAATCAATGCTTTTTCCGTTTCGGGCCTTCCTGGAGGCCCTCTTGGAGCCCTCTTGGGCCGTCTTGGGCCATCTTAGGGCCATGTTCGGCCGTCTTGGTGGGCTCTTGGTCCGTCTGACGCCGTCGGAAGCAGTTTGTGGGGGCCTCTATGGGCCGATTTGGGGCCCTCTTGGAATGCTCCAGGGCCGTCTTGGAGGCCATCTTGGGCGTCTTAAAGGCCTCCTGTGCCGTCTTGGGGGCCTCTTGGGGCCGTCTTGGGGCCCTCTTGGGCCGTTCTGGGGCCATCTTGGAGGCCCCTTGGGCGATCTTTCGGCGATCTTTGGGGGCTCTTGGGCCGTCTCGGGCCGTCGGAAGGCCGAAAAGAAGCACCTGTCAAAAACCGTCAAAAACCTTAGGAACATCAATGTTTTGGGCCTCTCCTGGCCTTCCTGGAGGCCCTCTTGGGGGCATCTTGGGCCGTCTTGGGCCAGCTTCGAGCCAACTCTGGCCATCTTGGTGGGTTCTTGGCACGTCTGACGCCGTCGGGAGCCGTCTTGGGGGCCTTTCTGGGCCGATTTGGGGCCCTCTTGGGGCGCTTCGGGGCCGTCTTGGAGGCCATCTTCGCCATCTTGGAGGCCATCTTGGGCGTGTTGGAGGCCTCTTGTGCCGTCTTGGGGCCCTCTTGGGGCCGTCTTGGAGGCCACTTGGGCCGTCATGGGGCCCTCTTGGGGGCCTCTTGAGCGATCTTGGGGGCCTCTTGGGCCGTCTTGGGCCGTCGAAAAGCCGAAAAGGCGCATCTGCCAAAACCCTTCAAACACCTTAGGAATATCAATGATTTTGGCCTCGTCGGGCCTTCCTGGAGGACCTCCTGGAGGCCTCTTGGGCCGTCTTGGAGGCCTCGTGCGGGCCCTTTGGGCCGTCGTAGACCATCTTGAGGCCATCTTGGGCCGTCTTGGATGCATCTTGGAGCCATCTTAGCCGTCTTTGAGGCCATCTTGGCTGTCTTGGAGGCATCTTGGAGGCCATCCTGGGCCATCTTGGCTGTCTTGGAGGCAATCTTGGGCCAACTTTGGGCAACAAAGGCATTGACGGACGGATTTTCGGGAATCTCCCGGGACCCCGGCGGGACGGGCCGAAGCCCCAGGGGGAGTTTTTTTGGAAAAAGAACCCAAACCAAAAGCCATATCTTCTGGCACGCCAGGCACCCCTTTGTTAAATCAATAAATCAAACGGGGCGGCGGACCTTATGGCCTTCGGCCCATCCCGCCACCGTACCTGTATAAAGCCTATTGGAGGTTCACTGGGATCTCGTGAGAGGCCTCTTGGAGGCAGCTTGGACGCCTCTCGGGGGCCGTTTGGTGAGCTTTGGGGGCATCTTGGGGGCCTACTGGGGGCCTCTTGGGAGCCTCTTGAGGGCCCCTCGGGGACCTCCTGGGCCTCTTCGGCGCCTCTTGGGGCCTCCTGGAAGCCTGTTGGGGCGGAAGGCTTGGATTTTCTGTTCGTGCTTCCTCTTTTGGGGCCGTCTTTGGGCCCTCCTGGGCTGTTTGGGGCGCCACTTGGGCTGCCTTGTCGCCCTCTTTGGCCGTTTTGGGGCCCTCTTGGAATCCTCTTGGGCCATCTTGGGGCGGTTTTTGGAGCCTCTAGGGTCGTCTGGGCGCGTCGGGGAGCCGACACGGCGAGAACACCAACATCTAAAACAAATCCACGGACAATCAATAAGTTTGGCATCTGGAGCTTTGTTGGGGCGACTCTTGGTGAGCCTCTTTGGGCATCTTGGAGGCCTCTTGGGCCGTCTGGGGGCCATCTTGAGGGTCCTGGGGCGATCGTTCGGCGACTCGGGGCCGTCTTGGAGGCCTCTTGGGGCCCTCGTGGCCCGTGTTGGGGCCCTCGTGGGCCCGAACCAGCCCCAGGGAGCACGCGCCAAGCCCCGGGAGATTTGACCATTTTAGGGTCCAGGGCCGTGAAAGACTCGTCAGTACTGGGGGCTGAGGCTCAGGCCAAGTCAGGTCAGGAACCGTGCCTAGACGTCAGGTCAGGAACCGTGCCTAGATTGCAGATCACGTGCGTGAGCGTATGCACAGCAGTACACCAACGTATGGGGTGGTGTAGAAGTCTGCTCACTCGCGCCCAGCCCTGCCTGGACGACCCGGGAGAGCAGCAGCAGCACGAGGCAGAGGAGGGAACGACACCCGGGGACCAGGACGAACCCAGAGCCGGGGGAGGGAGGAGAGCGAGCGACGGGAAGGATTGGGCAGAGGACTTGAGGGCACGCCCACTCCGTGCTCAGAGGCCCAGTGGCGGATGGATATCAGTATGGCCGCAGACATCGCGTCGGAGTTGGATCCATTGCAGCACGCGCCGCTTTGCGCATGGATCCTTGTCTTGCAAGAGGCAGGTTCGGCAGTTCCGACCTTGCAAGGAGCTCACCGCGCAGCGATGAGGGTATCGATCGGGGGCAGCGTCAGTCATCGATCGGGGAGGTATCGATCGGGGTGGTATCGACCGGGGGCGGTCGTTAAGGAGTGTGCCCTGGAGGCTTCACACCCTGGAGGAGTTCTTATCTGATGAGGGGGGCGTTGACATATATGGCCAAGATTCGTGTGGTGTTCCACAATCTTTGAAGCCATGGATTCCTTATCCAAGGGTTTCTTATCCAATGCCCTCACCGTACTGTTTGAAGGCAGCGTCAGTTGCGGACCGCCAATATGAGAGGTATCGTTGGGGGAGAAATCGATCGCCCAGAGAGGCATCGCTTTGTCAGGATGTAATTCCTGGGTGGTTGAATTCAGAATCAGCGCTGGTCGTGACCTGATTGAAGCCC